TTTTTAAAAAAAGTAGTTGAGCACAATGCATGACCGAAAATTTGCCTCTGCTCTCTACAGCAGTTGAAAAATGAATAGGGCAAACAAGGGTCACTACCCAGGTTAAAAGCAAGCGCACTAACTTCCCCGAGGTTGGCCACGGCGTTGTTCTTCGTGGCTGTGTCCTTTCTCCAAACTAGTTTACTTGCGAGGTTGACTGATTTTCAAGGCGCTTTGAAACACCGAACCGCTGTTTTCGCAAGTCGTACTTCATCTGTTACTAATTTTTGCTCAAATGCGTTGGTAACTAAGCATGCTATATCCTCATTGGGTTCAAAAACAAAGTGCACCTCAAGGGAATCCTCTAAAATGAAAATAGATGTGGTAGACCTTGTTGCAATTAACATATGTCTTTCCACGAAGGATGATGAGGCCGAACTTTCTCCCAAACGAGCAGAACAGAAAAGGAACTCCAACGTGAGGTCAAATAGAAGTGAGGCTAGTCGAAAGACTGTGGTGTCAATTTATGAGGATTCGTTCAGGACGGCCTTTATGCAGAAGTGGTCCGATCATGTACTGCGCTGATCCGAAATCGAAGTTGCTCAGCATGTCACGTCTCCCGAACTCGGCCATGATTGCCCATGGCGCCGAGGTAGCCAACACATTGACAGACCTGGGTGGTAGCTGTAGAGGCTGACCTAAATTTTTGGTTTTCGCGACTGACCTGTGCTGACTTGCTTAACTGCCCGCGGCAGTTTTCTGCTGGATTTCTATTAGTTCGATTATTTGCCTGACAAGTCATTATGGCTAGGTTGGACTACTGAGGGGCCTGATTTCGCTAGAGAGCCATGCAGAACAAGAACGGGTGCTCCATCTCCATGTGGCGTCAATCACTTTGAGGTGGACCGTTTTTAAAAATTAATTAATTTCCTTTCCGATTTTGTTTCCTAAACCACGCCCCCCCCCTCCCACAGGTTTGGGTACCTCAACGAGCAAAGAGGCGAAGGACTACTTTGGAGATATGATACGTCACCGTATCCGCTTCCGTTACTCCGGTCCCGAAGACGACGCCAGCATCACGTTGGCCTTCAACAAAAATAAGTCAGATGATCGTAAGAACTGGCTGACCACCTGGATGAACGAGCGGAAACGACGTGTGGAGTTGGGCCTGCCGGAGGACTACCTCTACGGTTCAGGCACACATGCCATCACCTACAGTGATTTCGTGCATAAGGAGCTCATCCTCTTCTCGAACATGGACAATGAGCGCAGCATTCCCTCCCTGGTGGATGGACTTAAGCCGGGCCAAAGAAAGGTAAGAGGCGTGCGGGCCCTCCGAAAATTTGGAAGTCATCGTGTCACCTTGTAACAAGTCTTAATTTCGAGGATACTGGGGACTTTATAACTATGCTTGAGCTCCCTCAAATAGCTAGTACTTGCAGACTCGAACATTAGTTTCAGTCGTGTTATCCCTCAGTTTGGCTGTCGATGGACAGGGTTTTGTTCCCTGAATGCACCTCTACCTGGGTTATGGTGCTTACAGACTCTAACCTTTCTCGTGAAATGTTGACGGAGTTTCTGACGTATGCTTTTTCGTCCGAAAGGACTACTTAGGTGATGTTGTGATATTTATGATCGTACAACCTTACCTGCCAGTTCCTTACAAAAACCACTGTCGGCAAAAATGACTAGGCAGTGTCAATATTTCCTGTTCATTTTCGATGCCCTTGTATATTGAAATGTGGTTTTAAATTTGCGAAAATTCCCATAGAAAAATTAATCTTTTGAAATGTAGTTTGTAGAGATTATGCACAAATACATTATCTCTCGAAATCATTCTGG